TAATCTTTTGTTGTTATCTTAATTTTTTATTTATTTGCCTAAAAATAATAAGCAATGTATATGTATCAATCAATTAAAAAATGCAAAAGAAAATATTTTACTGAGTAATCGCTTTAATTGATACTGTGAATGTTTTATTAATTTCATTACATTTTTCATGTAAAATACAATTCCCAAAATTTAATTAAATATTCTGAAAATAAACGCTTATATTTGTTGGGTCGAACCAAATCTGGTGATGTTGGATCACGAACAGTTAAACATAAATTCTGTTAGATTATAGTCCCAACGCTAGAGGAGGGGTATATAACGTTTGAAACGAAATAACGCAGGAATAAAAAATTTAAAGGCGTAGATAAAGAGTAAGGAGAAAGCACACCGATTTTACCCTAGTTTACCACAACGTTTGGCTACGTCTAGCCTCCCGGGAGACTCTCGAGTTACACTATCAACATTAAGCTCAACGGTGCTTAACAAACCCGTACAACTTGAGAATTCGAGTCACACGAACCTCAACGATCCTTCGAAGGAAACAAACCTTCCTTCGAACCAAACAAGAGAATTACCTTCTCTTAACAAGTGTCTAAAACACAAATTCACTCAAGAACAATACTCTCTTTTAGAGTGGATGTTAAGTAACTAAAAACGCTCAAGAATACAACAAGAACTTCACAAAAATGACTTTCAAAAAGCTATGAAAAATATATGAATAGAATGCAATGAATAATATGAGTTGTGAAGTAATTTTATGAGAAACGCAGACCCAAAAACCCCATATTATAGTAGAAAAATAGGTTCCAACGTGTGCGAGTTCATTGGGGTGATTGACATAATTTGTGGGATTTGATTAAAATTGGATCAGCTGAAATTTGGCCAGACATCGCTATTCATTACTTGAACATCGCTGTTGAGGCTTAAACTTTTGAATTGGAAGCTTCAATGGTCATGCCAACAGCGATGTAGAGAAAGTGAACATTGTTGTTCAATTTGTTGACTTCCAAACATGAAAAGTTTTAGCCTTTAATTTCTTTTAACGGTCAGGTGCCTACATCGATGTTCATAAGTGAACATCGCTGTTCTAGCTGATCCTACCAAGGGAAAAATTGGCCTGACATCGATGTTACTGGGGCAACATCGGTGTTCAAAAATAATCTTCCAAACTCATTTTCTCTTGGCTTGAGCTGAACATCGATGTAGAGTAGTCTACATCGCTGTTTAAAAAAGTTTCTTGAATTTCAGGCTTGGCTCAACAGCGATGTACAATAACCAACATCGCTGTTGGAAGACTTAGTGTCAAACCATGGTTTTCAGGTGCCAACGCCACACAGCGCTGTTGGGAACTCCAACAATGCTGTTGGGCTGGTTTGCCAGAATCAAGGCTAGCGAGTCAACACCGAAAGTCGATGTCAAAAACCAAAGTTCTCCAAATTTAAAACCAAGTGTTGAAAATACTTATATGATGTATTTTATATAGAAACCAAGTATAAAAACTTAAAAACCACGTCATTAAGGTAAAAACCACAACTAGGCGAGTTTATGCCGTTTCACATAGTTTTTACCTAATAAACAAAAACGAAAGGTGGTTTTTGAAGTGTTTTTTTGGAGAACTATTAAAATGTGTCGAGAAGTAAAAATCAATCATAAAAGGTTAAAACCCACTTAGTTTAGTTCGGACGCCAAAAACCAACCCCGATAACCGCATGCCGAACGCCGGTTTTTGAAAAACTGAATGCCGGTTTCTGAAAGTCGAACGCCAGATGACTTAGTTTTTGGTTTGGGTGAACTCCAAGTGTTTTTTGTAGGCTTATTAAAACTTATGAAAATTATTTTGATGATGCATGAAAAGTTTTTTTTAATGTATTTAGCCTAGAGAGCCAATTTCTAAAGTCAATGTCGGTCTTGATCACACAAAGACCGGCTCAACTATTACTACGTTTTTGTTATTGTTCTTGGTTCTCGTTTTCACTTGATCACCATGCCATATTTCTTTGCCTTTGGTTTGTTCAATATGTTCTTGTTTTGACGGCGGTTTGACATTATCAAAACATGTCATAAAACGAACACGATTTTAATACGCCATAGGCGTAAACCTGTGTTCCAACAAATTTTTTGACCCATACTGAATTGGAAGTAACTCAAACACTAGCTTAGAACTTGTTCTTTAGAACTGGAAAAAAAGAACTAGATGATGGAAGAAATTGGAAAAAACTGGAAGGATCTGAAAAAATGGAAGGAACTGAAAGAAACTAGAAGGAACTAACGGGAAAAACTTCAAAAAATTGGAAAACCTAAAAAAACTTTAAAAAATTTTATTTTAGTATATTTTTATATTATTCTAATTCTTGTTGTTATAAATTATTATTATTATATCATCATCATTATCATTATCATCATCATCATCATCATTATCATCATCACATAATCTTAATGAATGCCTTTAAGATAAAAAAGTATTGTTATTTTTTAAATACAAAAAACTACTTTTACAAAAAAATAATTATAATATAAAGTTAGCATAAATATCAAAATGTTAAATTTTAAAAAGTTTTTGTGGTTATATTACACTTCAATTTATTTATGCGGTATTTATTATAAATAATATATTTATAATTATACTTTATATATTACAAGATTTTGTTTTAAATATCAGACATGTCACATAATGTAATCAAACATATCTTTTCTTTATGATTGACATTTTTTTAATTGTAAGTCCTATTTTTGGAATAAATACATAGAACTTTTTTCTTATACATTTTTTTATGTTTTACTCCTATTTCAGTCTTTTTTTCTAAACTATTTTGACTTTCTGTTTTTTTTATAAAAATTAGAAAAATGAGAAATTTTTTAGTTATAAAGGGAAAGGTGAGAGGTCTTATATAAAGTTAGATTAATAAAACATTCTATGTAACTATATTATCCATAATTTTTAAATACTCCGTATAATTTAAAATATTGATCTTTTCCTGTTTTTATCATGTAAATTAATATACAAAAAAATTGTATTATTCATTTTAGAAACAAATTTTTAAACCACTGGTTCTACTACTTGAATCACTGGTTCTACTAGTTGAAAACAAATGTTTAAACCACTGGTTCTACTAATTGAATCATTGGTTCAACCATTAAACCAGTATCTAGACCGGTTCGGTCACTGATCCGGTTTTAAAAACTATGAAAAATTTGCGATAAAAGTTACGGAGTAAAAGGCAATAAGTTGAGGAAATAATTCTAAAATTAAAATCTGCCCAAGTTTTTTTTAATTGTTGGTTAAATTTTCAAAAATATCATTATTGATTCATCCAGCTGTAAATACGAGTATAATTTACCCAAGTTCAAACAATATAGCGAAATTGGGGGAAAAGGACTCCAAAGCCGCGAAAAGGGCCTAAAATTTCCAACGCGCTCTATGAACTTTTTACTCAAGACTCCGTATTATTATCGCCATCCTATTTTTTACTTTTTAGGGTTAGAAAAAAAGAATTTATAGTGAATAAATTAGAATAAATAGAATGAAATTAAATGAAGTTTGAATAATTAGAAAACGTTAGAAAGAAACTGGAAATCATTGGAAAAGGATGGAAATGGGTTCACACATGGACTTCAAAATTTCTCTAACTGTCATTTCAACTTTAACTTACCTCATAGTTTCACTGAGCTTCAAACTAGGACTAAATTAATAAAACTTCATTAATTAATTAAATTTAAACAATAATAATTCATTAAATAAAAAATTACATTCAATAATAAAAGCACTTAATTAAAAAATTACTCCCTCCGTCTCACAAAACCCTTCCTCTTTCCTTTTTCATCCGTCCCAAAAAGACAGAACAAGTTCAAGGCTAAATATAATTTGCTTTGGTTTTTTAATTAATGTACTCCATCCGTCCCGCAAAAAAGTTTCCATTTTGACTTTTAAAGAATTTAAGATGAGTATATTTTGGTGTTGACTTTATAAAAATGTCCTATGATGTGAAGGATAAAGTAGAATGAGATGGGTGGATAAGTAGAGAAAAAGTGTTAAAAAAGATGAAAAAATTTAAAGAATTTTTAAATCTGAAGAAGAGAGAGAGATATTGTGTGTGTTTAGTTTTTTTAATTTGAAATAGAGTTGTTAGTTTTATTTTAAACAAGAGTTGATTTAGAGGAGATTTTTTATTAAGTTTGTAACGGCTTTGTAGCCATTTGAGTGAATTGAAGGGCCTCTTGCATATATGCCTATTAAAAGTTTGACGTAGTGGGATGACGCCTGGATGAAGCCCCATGGGAGCGGTGTTTAACGCCCCAACGCCTCTCACGAGTGGAAAAGACAATGACGCCCCCTGACACTGCACCCATTACCAGTGCTCTTATACATCTTACTCGTCCCATAAAACTTTTCTATTTGGTCCAAATGGACATAAAGGTCATTACTTTTATTAAATCTAACCTAGCTAATTAACCCAATTATCTTTAATGCTCTATCTATTTTAACATTTTCCAAATCATACTCGTTCCGAATGTCGTCGTTTCATCATGGTCAAACTTCTATGAATTCATTTTACTTCAAAATAAATTTAGGGGAATTTACGTAAATAGTACTAAAACATAATGACTTTCCCTAAATAGCATTACATGTGTTTTTTCCCAATCTAGCACTTTTAGTCATTTTTCATTAGTCATTATTTAAGTAAATATTCATCCTCACTAGATATTATGGACATTATGAAGTGCTATTTAAAAAATAAAACAATTTAAGTGCTATTTAGAGAAATGACTTAAGTTTTAATGCTACTTAGTGCAAATATTTTATAAATTTAACTACTTTAATTTTACATTTTTCAATATTTGGAGGAGGTATTGATGAGCAGGCAGCGTTTACATTAAGTAATTGACTAACTGATTTCCTATAATTGAGGACATTGTCCCACACAAAATGCTGCACAAAGTTTGGTGTGTTAACCCATTATTATGTTCGAATGATTTGGTCTATATAAACCTGAGTTGGGTTGTGCTTAGCTTCTTCACCAATCTCCCCATCTCTGCAAATACAAGTTAAGAGATGGGTAACAATATTAACAATAACAACAAAAGAGCGCCCTCCGCCGTGTCTTTCCTCCTCCTCCTCCTCGTCCTCCTATGCCAACAGTTTCTCGCGGCGGCGGCGGAGGCAAAAACCTACCTGCTGAGCTTCGGAGGTGAAAAACCAACTTCTTTTGAAACTCGCGCCGAGTGGTACGCCTCTCAACTTCAATCCCTTTCTCCTCTATCAATTTCCACTGCGGAAGCAGCTAAAAGCAAGATATTGTACTCTTACAATGTCGTGAATGGGGCCGCCGTCTCCTTGGAAAAGGAGGAGGCGGACACCCTCAGAGGTTTGGACAACGTCCTCCTCATCGAAGACCATTTGTATAGTCTGCATACCAGCCGCACTCCTGAGTTTCTGGGGCTGGATAAGCTCCAGAACATCGGGTCGTCGAAAGGCTCGTCGCACGGTCACGACGAGCTTTTCAAACTTTCTCAGGACGTGATCATTGGCGTTCTGGACACCGGCATCACGCCGAACTCCAAGAGCTTTAACGAAAACGAAATGGGACCCGTTCCAGCAAAGTGGAAGGGCGGGTGCGACGATATCGTAAAGAAGAGTTGCAATAAGAAGCTCATCGGGGCCCGTTCCTTCGTAAATGGGCATAAGGGTAATAATGCCAACGATGACTCGTCCGATAGTCCGGTCGACGTTGATGGTCACGGGACCCACACGGCCTCCACCGCGGCTGGCGCCGCGGTGCAGAACGCGAGCCTCTTCGGCTTGGCTAGTGGGACCGCTAGAGGCATGGCCCCGGGTGCCCGCATCGCGGCCTACAAGGTGTGCACGGCAAGTGGTTGCTACGGGAGCGACATCCTTGCCGGCATTGAGGCCGCCATCGAGGACGGTGTCGACGTGATTTCAATGTCGTTAGGCGGGCTACCGGGTCCTTACTATAAGGACCCGATAGCTGTTGCAACGTTTGCGGCGATGGAGAGGGGCATTTTGGTCTCGTGCTCCGCGGGGAACTCCGGGCCCTACGCAGCATCAGTCTCAAACTTGGCCCCATGGATTTTAACGGTCGGTGCCAGCACCATGGACCGGGATTTTCCGGCCGCCGTCAACCTCGGTGACGGCCGGAAAGTGGCCGGAATTTCGTTGTATCCCGGAAGAGGAAAGGGGAAGAAGAAATTCGGTTTGGTGTACGGTGAGTCGTGCTCGGAACCTTCTCCGTCTTTCGCCGGGAAAATAGTGTTGTGCGACAGAGGGGGTAGTGGGAGGGTGGAGAAGGGGTCGGTGGTTAAAAAGGCCGGCGGGAAGGGCATGGTGCTGGCGAACACGGCGATCGACGGCGAGCAGGTGCTGGCGGATGCCCACTTGTTGCGGGCGCTGGCGGTGGGGAACAAAGCAGGGAACCTGATTAGAGAGTACATTAACAATAACAACAGCAAGACGGCGCCGACGGCGGCGATCACCTTCCAGGGGACGGTGGTGGGAGTTAAACCGGCGCCGGTGGTGGGGTCTTTCAGCTCGCGGGGACCTAATTCGGTGACTCCTCAAATATTGAAGCCTGACATTATTGCCCCCGGGGTTAACATCTTGGCTGCCTGGCCCGGTACCGTTCCGCCCACCGAACTTGTAGAGGATAAGAGGAGGGTCCTATTCAACATCTTGTCAGGTGAGTCTTTTCTTTCAAATTTTTACTCCATCCGTCCCAAATTATTTGCCACATTTGTATTCCTGAGGCAAAATATCAAGTTTTTTCAATTAATTTTATTTACATATTAGTGTAAAAATAAAAAATAAAATTTACATATAAAAAAACTACATGAAAAGTTCTTCGAAATATGAGGTGTCAAGAATATTTTATTTTATCAAATAACCAATGAAAACGTCGTAATAAACAAAAGTTCCCGCGACTGCTGAAAAAGCAAATGTTGTGAATATTTAGGGACGGAGGGAGTATAATATTGCATCGGTCCACAAATAAATTTTTCGTTCACTATTTGCATGGTCAAATTTTATTCATGCCTATTTTTGTTACTCATTTGATAAAAAAATATAGTCATGTCACCTTTATTTTTGTAGATCTTTTGATATAGTTTTTGAATATGTAATTTTTATTTTAAATTTCACACCATTTTTCATATAAAATGGTTTAAAAATAACTTTAGTCAAACATCGTAATGAGCAACGGGAAGTTTATCTGTGGAGGGAGGGAGTATACTTTTGGCATTTTTGTTTGTTTTTTTTCATTTGTTACTAGCTATACTAGTAGATTAATGTTATTTACTTATATTCATGACGTGTGGAACTTTTAGGTACATCGATGTCGTGTCCCCACATGAGCGGGCTAGCAGCGTTGCTGAAAGCAGCTCACCCGGGATGGAGCCCGGCGGCCATCAAGTCGGCGCTAATGACGACCGCCTACATGAAAGACAATACCAACTCGTCAATCCAGGCACAGAACGGAGTGCCTGCGACCCCGTTCGACAGAGGCGCTGGTCATGTCGACTTTGTCAAGGCCGTCTCCCCGGGCCTCGTGTACGACATAAGCCAAAACCAATACCGGATGTTCCTGTGCTCTCTCGGGTACAACGACACCCAACTCTCGCTCTTCACCACCAACCCACGCTTCCACTGTAACAAAAACACGACGTTAAAAAACCCCGGTAGCCTCAACTACCCTTCGTTCTCCGTCCTCTTTGGGGAAAAAACGAAAGTCGTCCACTACACGCGGATATTGACCAACGTCGGACCCGCCAAATCCGTCTACCGTGCCTCCGTCGAAGCGCCGGCGTTTGTGACCGTGTCGGTCTCCCCGAAGGTCATCTCCTTCAATGAAGTGGGGGAGAGGGTGAAGTACACCGTTAGCTTTGTGCCCAAGAAGGGTGCCAATAAATACACCTTTGGTTCACTTACTTGGCACAACGAGCAATACCAAGTGAGGAGTCCAATTGCTGTGACTTGGGAGTAAAAATTTACACACACAATAACTTTAATCACTTCATTTAATTTTGAGATTTTTATATTTATGTTTGTTGTTATTGTAATCCTTGTTTTATTAATTACTATATATAATTTCATTTTGTATTCACTTTGTTACTGATCAAAGACTTCACGTAAGTTATCAATACATACACTTTTGAATTTTTATCATACTTTAAAAAAAGTGTATTTTTTTCACTAAAAAACTTCACCCTCACGTTACCCTTTCTCTAGCTTTGATTATGTTTAAGACCGTGCTTAAGGTTTGGATTAATCCGTGTGTAAGCGTGCATAAAGTTTAATCTATTTCTAGGACACCCATCAAGTGCTTTTATTTATAAATCTCAATATTTAGTGATGAAAAAACATACACCATTGATCATTTGAGATTATTATCTAGCTTCTTGTTTTGTACTCCGGGGTAAAAATTTTGTGGTTTTTTTAAATATGTAATTTGTAGTCTCTCGGAAACTCGGACCCACAAAATTTTTCTCATTTCTTTTTTTATCCATCACAAAAAAAATTCTCATTTCTACTCTCTCCATCCAATAATAAAGTTCATGTTCATTATTCAGATGCTCAAATTTTATTCATTTTGTTGACCTATATTCGTATCCTATTGCGTAAAATAATACAGTATAATCATGTCACATATAATTTTGTAGATCTTTTCATATAATTTTTAAATAGGTAATTTTTATTTTTTAATTTCATACCATTTTTTATATAAAATAATTTAAAAATAAGTTCAGTCAAACGTAACATCGCAAAGCGCAACGAGAACTTTATTTATGAACATAGGGAGTTAAAAAGTCAATTTTACTTATATTAATTCTTAACATATTTATCACATCACACTTTTTCACTACTAATTTACTCATTACATCTATTTTCCCTTATTACATCCAAGGACATGTTTGGAAAGTCAACACCAAAATACAGTTTTCTTAAATTCCTTAAAATTCAAAACAAGATTTTGTGGGACAGAGGGATTATTCTTTATTTCAATATCAAATTGTAATTTGTCTTTAATTTCAACCTCAACTACAGTACATAAACTTTTAGACTATTTGTAAAACTTACTATGGGAGTTAGGCCCCGTTCCGTTCAACTTATTTTTTTTATTTTTTCTTATTCTTATTAAAATCAGATCAGATCAGATCAGACCAGATCAGATCGAATCAGATCAGATCAGATCCAATCAGATCAGATCAGATCCAATCAGATCAGATCAGATCCAATCAGATCAGATCAAGACTTATTAAAATAAGATCTCATCAAGAATTATTACTATTATTATTATTATTATTATATTATTATTATTATTATATTATTATTATTATTATTATTATTATTATTATTATTATTATTATGATCATCATCATCATCATCATCATCGTCATCATCATCATCATTATTATTATTATTATTATTATTATTATTGTTCTTAAAAATGAAAAAGAATAAACTTTAGAAATAGGTTAAATATAAAGCTGAGAAAGTAATCCTTAATTATTAGACGTCGGAAAAATTAGTTTTAAAATACATTGACAATGTCAATCTAATTCTACTTTTAAAATATATTTTTATTGCTACTTGTAATTTGAGTTTCTAAACTTTTGATCTTTTATAAGGATGAGATATTTTAATAAAAATACTATCTCTTCTATATATTGATTATCTAAATTTAATTACTTTTAAATGTATATCTAAATTAAATATTTATTCCAATGTATAATT